TTTACAACTAATGAACAGAAGTGCCTCTTTTAAAAATGGAATGCTAGTTATTATGAGCTTTCATCGTTAAGATGTCATCGTTACTGTGGTTGTTTGTGGTAACAGACGTGAAGGGCTAAGCTTAATTTTTAAAAAAATCCATCTAGGGAATCTTCATCTGAAATATTATCCTTCTCTACCCTACATTTTTATCAGAAATTTTTTTTAGCATGTAACCTGTTTGATACTGTTTTTTGTGGTAAAGATGGTCAGTAGTAGAATTCCATTAATAATTCTAGAGGGAGTTGGTGTTCAATACTGCACACATAACTAAATTGCTTCAGAGTTAAGAAACCAAAAGATTGATACATAATAAAAGAGTAGCAGTAAACGCTGACCTAGGAGTCTTTGAAATATTGTCATTTAGCTTTTTGTAGAGGAGGAATGATTCTCTTGAAGGGGCCACAGTCTGATTCCCAGATGTAGTCTGGCCTCTCTCAAGCTTTTTATCTTCATAACAGAAGCCAAGGTCAGATCAGAGGATGCAACACATCAGGTTTGTACAATTAATTACACACAGGGTCTTGCAAAAGGAAAAGAGGCCTTTAGTTCCTATTTCTTTCACAATTCTATCTTATAAAATGAGATGTTGTGGGAGAGAGGTGAGCTGTAAAAAGTGGGCCACAAAGGGTACAGTCACCAGCTTTTCCAGTGGAATTAGGACATACGCTGGTGTACCTGTATCAAAGAAGTGGATTATCTACGTGACAGCGCATTTGATCTTACTGTGGCATCCAGTAGAACGGGACTTTAAAGAATTAACTGTGTTAGGTCAGTCTTTGCTAAGTTAATACATCAGTTAAGTAAATAGGTAACAGCTAGCTATTTATTTTTCACCTATTTTTCAACAAGATGATCAATTCTGAAAAATGCTATCATAGAATGGTTTGGGTTGGAAGGGACCTTAAAGACCATCTAGGTCTAACCCTCCTGCCATGGGCAGGGAGACCTTCCACTAGACCAGGTTGCTCAAAGCCTCATCCAGCCTGGCCTTCAACACTTCCAGGGATGGGGCATACACAGCTTCTCTGGGCAACCTGTTCCAGTGCCTCACCACCCTCTCCGGGAAGGGAAGTCTTTAACAATCAAAAGAGTTGGAATGAGCCCCCTGGCAGGTGATGCTAGTTAAATTGACATTAAAAATGATACTAGAAAATACTTTTAATTTAGTAATAGATGCATAATGTAGGGCTGTGGAGTGTCTCCTGGCAAAGAACAAAGCTTAAGCCATTTGAAAATCCTGACAGGGGCAGTACAGGCTGTTCTCACTTGCTGTGAGCTTACATCAGAGGGATTCTCAATTTTCCCAGCAGCAAAAAAATACTGCATGCTATGTCCACTAACACGGTATGAGGACAGGAGTTTTACTAAATTCAGTATAATGAACAGGCAGGCACTGTGGGTTCAACCCGTGACGTAAACTCATGTTTACTGCTGAAGTTGCTGCTGACTGGTTAGTAAGTGAAAGATTTCTTGGAGTGGCCAGAGTAAAACGTTGCTCCAAACCCACATGCAGTCTCTCTGGGATTTGAGGAATGTTGGTTTCCTGGAGTACTGACATAGTATGGGCTGACTTTATGTTCAGAGTATAAATTTACAAACCTCCTACTCCAAACAATCTCAGCTTTGCTTGGCATGTATAAAAATTAGGATAAAGGGCTTACATCCATCAGAGTCCAATTTCTGAACTCTTCCCCCATTTTAACTACAGCATCTTTTATTCCCTACATTTGAAATATAAACCCATTTTTGCCTGGTTTCCTGAGGAAGAAGGGTTTATGTGATTAGTCTGCCAGCCTGTCTTTTAATTCTGCAGTGATTTTGTTGCACAGGCCAGGTTCAGCTCACCTAGAAAGGAGCGTCCATCACCAGCCAATAGTTTGAATGTGGCACTTTTTAAGGTATAAGAGATTTTCACTGTATGGAGCAAGCTGTGCTATTCCGAGTGGTCTCAGAACTTGAGGATGGTGTCTAACTTTTTAAATTTGCGAGTATAAACATAAGCTCAGTGTCCTAAGACAGGGCAGGCAGTGCAGCTAAGATTTGTTGTGAACAAGAATAGTTGCAGAATTCTCTGTTTAAGAGGCTTGCTGGTGTAACTTGAGAGGATGTGTGAGTCCTCATATTTGGGTTGTTTGCCTGTACCTCACGAACAGTGGGGTATATGTACTGTCCTAACAACTCCTTTCCCACCAAGGAAGTAATGGCTGTTTTGCACCTAGAAATTTTGTTGCTTAAGCAGACCAAGCATTAACTGTGGGTGAACTACACCATGAAATTTTGAATTTAATTGTAACCAACTTTAAATTTAATCTTAGCTCAGGAAGAAATGTGTTTCTCACTGGGCTTTGGGTTAGAGAAACCCCAATAGAAACTGAAGTATTTTTCCAAAGCAAAGGGATAATTTTAAAGGTTTGCATACATCTGTCACTCTGGAGGTTCACTACTGAACCTAAGTCTGTGCTGTGTGTCAGTTTTTTAAAGAGCCCAGGTCACAAAATCACAGAATGGTTTGGCTTGGAAGGGACCTTACAGTCCACCCCCCTGCCATGGGCAGGGACACCTTCCTCTAGACCAGGTTGCTCAAAGCCCCGTACAAGATGAAGATAATCAGGGGGCTGTGAGCTTATGGCTTAAAAGAAGAGTTTGGATGAACTAGTTTTGTTCAGTCTTCAGGGTATTTGGTTACCTGTTTGTGGGGTATAGAGGAAACAGTGCCTGAATCTGAGGGGTGCACAGTGATAGGACAAGAGGCGACAGGCACAAATTGCAAGAAAGAAAATTCTGATTGAATATTGAGAAGAAGGTTTTTGCTGCCAGGACAGTCAAACTTGGGAACAGGGCCCAGGGAGGCTAAGAAATCTCCATGCCTGAAGACATTGAGAACTCAAGGAGACGAAAGTCATAGGCAATGGTCCAAGTTGGCCTTCCTTTGGGCAGACTTTGGACAAGGTGTCCCCAAACTGTTGTTCTGTGACACAGCATCGGGTGCGGCATGAGTTTAAAGTGCAGTTCCCTGTGAAGCAGTTAACCGCTAGATTTGAATTCAGGAAGGCATGTTTCTAATGTATAATAGGAGCCCAGAAGTGCCAATACACATTGAATGCTGGAGAACTGAATATAATTGCTCTTTCTGCTATGAAGTTTTCATGTGTTGACTTCTCAGTAGGCCACAGTTTCTAGATGCCTGAATTAAGGGCCATGCAGAAATGCTTCTCCAAACAATATTTAGGGAATGTTCTTTCATCAGTTAACATCTTGTATACTAAACACTTCAAAAAAAAGCCTGTTTGGTTGCCAAAGTAAGTGCCTAGTTTTAATCTTAATCTTGCTGTGGTTCAGCTCCCCATGTCAGAGGGGAAAGCATCATTACTTTTCAGGAGCATCGTAGTGATGGCTATCATAAAGCCCAAAAGAACATAAATAATTCTTCCTTCAGAGCATGGTCTGTGTCCTGATGCCCATGTATTGCAATAGAAACAGAGAAGAAAACAAGGCTTCAGTCCATCCTATGTGGAGGGACTTTTGGAAGAAACCACAGGTACCGTCAGTCAGAACAGCTATGCATGAAGACACCAGCCTTAATTATAGAGTTTCCCAACTTTCAATTTTTTCACTCTAAAGCTTTTACTGTATTCTTTTGAATTTTTTTGTTTGTTTCTAATTATAAATCATGGTTAAAAAATTGGTGCTATTTTTACAGCATTTCACACTTGGATCTTTTAGTTGTTTATGAAAGAGCACGGCTGAGAGTCTCTGTCGTAGCAGATGATGCTGTTTAACACAGGCCGTGCAGCTCAGTGCAGTGACTGTCTCAGACTGAGCTCAGTTCTGTTCTTGTCACCATCAACAGGAGTTTTACCGTTGCCTACCCTGCAAGCATCTCTTTTATTGATACCCGGGTGACGTAGTCCAGCCTAGCCAAGAACTTATATGTGAGGCTATGCTTTATACCGGGTGCACAAAGACTTTCCTGAAATCAGGATCTTTTAATCTAAGAAGTGTGGGAAAAATAATGAAAACAATAGACATTGAAATCCTTAAAATCACTACTGTTCAGGAAAGTATCTGCTTAAATTCATGCATACTTTGAGAGCCCTTAAAAGACTGAATTTTTGAGTGTGTCCAAGTATACATACTGTCCTGTCTAGGGGACTAAGTGTATTAACGGAGAATAAACAGGAATTACATTAACAGAGTAGAAGCAGGGAACTAAATGCTAAATACTAAATAAATCCAGGAGCAGGGGAAATAAAGCCAAACACTTCAACCGTCAACACCTGCCTAATCTTTACTAAACCTGCTGATAGTAAAAGAGTGTTTTAAAACAAGGATGGTAAAATTGCATTAGGAAGCACTCTGAAGTTCAGACGCTCAGGATTGAAGGTTGCTTGTCAAGCCTTAATGCCTATGTATTGTGTGTATGCATTATAATAATCTTTTAACGGAAGAAATCCCTGTAAAGTGGGAAAACAGTTTTTGACTTCAGTGTAGTGGAAAATTAGATTGGCTTAAAACCATTCACTTGCCCTGCCCTTAAAAGCCTGTAGAAGTACATGAGGAAAGTGTATTTGGTGTTGAGGGCACCATAAGTGATAGGAGGAGATGTTATTTTAGAAGTAATGTTTTTCTCATCAGAGATAATTGGAGACATTTATGAGCTGCAGAGTCTTAAGAGTCTGACAGCGGTTTTGAATGCAACTGAGCTTATAAACTTTTGAAAGTTGTTACAATTCTCTGACTTACAAGGTCTCTTTTGCTTTTGTCTTTTAATAGTTCTCTACAAATATGCATCAGCTGCAAATAAATATCCTGGGAAATCCTGATTCTGTGTGAAGCTTTTAATTTGTGACACAGGAGAATATCCCGCTGCTGGAATCCCAGTCTCTCAAATGTCTCTTAAATATAAAGCAGGGATCAAAATCTTGTTTGTTCTATCTTTTGCCTTTCAGGTCCAAACCATGAATTACGTTGGACAGTTAGCAGGGCAAGTGTTCGTAACTGTGAAGGAGCTCTATAAGGGACTGAACCCAGCCACATTGTCAGGATGCATAGATATAATTGTTGTACGTCAGCCAGATGGAAATCTTCACTGTTCTCCTTTCCACGTACGCTTTGGGAAAATGGGAGTCCTACGTTCTAGGGAGAAAGTGGTAAGAAAATTGCCAATTTTTCTATGTTCTGTCTGTGGAGCAATTCTAATGGCAAGGAAGTTACTGAATGTTCTGTGGTATGCTAGTCATGGGTTGTTTTGGACACCCTTTAAAAGGTGCCCAAATTGAGGCTCGATTCAGTTAAAATGGTTGTCATTGGTTCTTACATTTCAACGTATAATTTGTAAGACACTGACTGTAATAAAACCAAAACAAACCGTTAGATTTGTAACATTTATTTTCAGTAGAGCAACACTGAATTTGCTGCTTTGGGTTTATAATAAATTTCATTAGCGACTGTGTATTAAGACCCCTTTGTTTAACATGTTCATTGATGGTTACAAAAACAGGTTAATCATGAAGTAATATTTTCAGGTAACAGAATGTTGAGGTTAATTGAAGCTAGAAAAAGCAGTGAGGACCATTAGAGAAATGTAACCAAGCTGAATGACCTGGCAGTATGATATCAGATGCGAAGTTGCCAGTGAGTAATGCATGACAGATTATTTTAGGAAATAATTTGTAACTACATGTAGTCTAGGTTCTAATGTAGCTACAGTTCAGCAGAACGATCTCACCGTGGACGTTGTTCACTTCTTACATGAATCAGAAAAGAGTACCAATATTTAAGATGGGTAAAAGTTGAAAATGTTACTGTGCTAATGGCATAGTGTGTCCTGAAATACCACATAAATGGAGGCTTCTCTAGGTCTCAAAAAAACCCCCTCAAAACCACCAGTGAAAATGGAGTTGGGGGCAAGAATGGTTATAGGCGAAGGGAAAGATCCTCCTGAGAAGAGGTGGAAATAGTTGTGGCTGTATAGCGGTGACATAAATGTGTGGAAGAAACAGTCAAATTTTCTTATTTGTGCTTCTCATACTGTAAAGAGAAGTCTGTGTAATGAATTTGAAAGACGGTACGTTAAGAATTTGTATGTGGAAGTACATCTTGCACAATGCAAAATTAGGCTGTGAATTGAAAGAGCAAAAAGATTGGTGTGGTGAGTGAAGCATTCAGAATTACATTTTAAAAGATTCAGGATTTTACAGAATGGCTACAAACCTTCCTGAGTCGAGGAGCAAGACCGAAATGAGCTGAAGGAGTTAGAAAAACATTCTGAAAATTGATGGCCTTGTGAAGGGCTGGGAGAGAAACTGAGAAGTTCACTATTTTATGATTATTCTAAGGTTTCTTACACTTCCTTGAGAAGCATTTGCCCAGTGACAGAGGTAGGATAGCTGAACAGGAACCATGTACATAAAATAACTTTCTTTTCAGTTCAGACTATATTTATTTTCTTCCAGGTTGACATAGAAATTAATGGAGAAGCTGTAGATTTGCACATGAAACTGGGAGACAACGGAGAGGCCTTTTTTGTGCAGGAGATGGATAATGGTCAGGTAAGAGTCAAAATGAATTTTAATTTGTTAAAAATTCAATGCCTGCTGTTCAGAGAAATTTAATACTATGCAGTTACCTCATTTCTTTGAGTTGCTGAAACTGAAAAAAATCTAAAGAAGGTAGTGTCATCACTGAAAAATAAATCAGAGTTTGTGCGCATGCCAGTGAGTGAACAGCAGGAGCATGTACACAGTTCACGTCTCCCAGGATTACAGCAGAGGTTAGTGTGTCCACGCACCTGTGTTATGCAGAAATCTTTACGTTGAACGTAGCCACTCGGCAGACTGCCAGCAGGACTGCACACGCCCTGTAAAGATCTGTGCACACAGTAATCCTGGTACGCATCAAAGATGTGATCTTGCAACTACTGTTCATGTGGGATTATGTTTAAATGAGAAGGCCGGCTGTTGAGCTGTGTGGTTAAATACCTATATAAGGTAAGGTCACACTAGTTTATAGTCTATATAACTTGTGGTTATACTAGTTTTGGATATTCCACATGTAATGTACCATAAGGAAAGCTTTTTACAGGCACTTCTCTTCAGATATTCCCAATAATTTTTGTCACTGTCCAGAGTGGGATGAGTTTTCAAATTCTTACATTGTACGATACTCCTAGTTTCAGCTGAGGGCTGTGTGCGTGTGCAGTATTCATCTCTATTTCTTTATATTTAAATCTTCTGATCTCTGTATTAAAATCTTCTGTGTGGCAACAGTTATTTGGTGACTGAAAATTGCTAGAAATAATTCCATGAACGTCATATACATATGATTGGATAAGAGGGTGTTTGTGTGACCTAGTTATAAACCAGTGACCTATCTGACTACCATCTGTCATCTGAGCTGTGAAAGAGAATTGGATTTTACAAAATGGTCAGGTTATTTGTTTCTGTTCTGTATCTAGCATCAGGTGGGTAGACTCATGCCATAACCTGGCCAATATTAGATGGTCAGAGGATCCTCTTTGTTAAGAGTACTGTTCCTGGCTTGTCTAAGGAGATGCAGCTATGGAACAATTTCCATATGCTATAGGATCGTACTGAACACCCAAATGTCTGATCTTTGTTACTTTTCTGGGGAATAAATGAGTTGGATTTTGGCAATTGTGCATAGGTTTTTAGAACCAGATTTATGACTGGCAGAGGAACTAACATGTTGCATGGTTTGCATTTTTCTTTTCAGGAGGTAATTCCTTATCATCTCTCCACATCTCCCATTCTGACTGAGGGAACTGCTTTAATGGAAGCTCAGCTGAAGAGGAACTCCATAGACAGGATAAGAAACCTGGACAGCAGTGCATCCTCACAAGTACCATCCCAGGTCCATGGATCCCAGCCTTCTTCTGAAGCGTCTCCAGTCTGTAGCTCTGTGAAAAAAAGGAGGAAGAAGAGGAGGAAGTCTACCCATAAAATAGACAGCTTAAAAAGAGAAGACAATGGAGACACGTCAGAAGATGAAGACATGTTTCCTATAGAGATTAGCTCAGAGGAAGAAAAAGAACCATTGGACAATTCAAGGTATCACAGTGGAATTGAGATATATAATGGAAACCTAATGCTGGCTTAAAATTCCACTCCATACCTTCTAACAGTAATTTAACAGTACAGTGGTTGATGAACATATTTCTTTAAGTAAAACCTTTAGGCTAGAAAGCTATTGAGAATGTTACTAACAAAAATAACGAAAATGACATTGAAAACGTAAGAACAATCCTCCATTGTTCTGTGAACCAGAAGGTATGAATCAGATAACAAATAAACCTACTGTAGAGAAGAATTAGTATAACCTGAACTTCAAAGAGGTAGACAAGTGTTCTCTGGAGTGTATGACTACGCAGTAATCAAGTGTGGTTTTTAAATGGCACGTAATTGTTCCAGATGTGTTTGTTGATGAAGTATCTGACATGAAGGCTCCTGCAGTTGCTATGTTTTCTCAGTCTGCATCTTACCCTCGGTCAGATGGAGAATGGTCACCTCTTCAGAGGTACTTCTTCTGATAGTACATTTCTAAATAACCTTCCTTTAATTTTTATATGCTAGTGCTATATGAAGTCGTTCTAAAAATTTTGGTATCAAACATGGTCACTGTCTGTTACTAGATGAATGCTTTCTGTATTTGGAATGAGGTATAGTGTGCAGAACCTTGAGGTTAGGTTTTTCATTGATTGAACAAATGCATGCATACAAATGCAGGTCCACAGATTCTGAAGTATATTTATGTCTGTTAATGTCACTGTTTGCATATAAATACTGTAGAGAGAGTGAACATTGGGTGAACTCTGAGTCTTTGCCTCATGCACGCACCTTATAAGGGCTTCAGGCTTCAGTGATTGCAGGTATATAAATCTGTAGTACTTTGGGTGTAATCCTTTTAAGAACTTGCAAGATTGGGACTGATGTATAAAAATAAGATTAATTTTTTTTAACGAGTAAGAATATGAACTTCTTGTGTCCCTTTCAAAGCTAATCTGCTGAATTGCATAGGTAGATAGACATGAAATATTGATTGTGTGAAAAGAACACATACACTACTTCACTTACTTTTTCCTCTGCGTGTGTGCACGTGCCCCACATCCTCCATGCAGACTCTTGGAGTGGGGCACAAGACCTTATCCTAAGACGTCTAATCTTAATAGACTGCCTCTGTAGTTGAGGGACAGAGGCAGGGAGAGCAAGGAGATGATTTCAGAGAAAGGGCTTAATTTGAATTGCATTCTGGGAGAAGCTTTCTCCACACTGACGGTAGAGTTTAATGCCATTAGCTCCACCAGTCTGGTGTTAGCATGTGCCAATACCCTCCCTCTTCAGTGGCTTTTTGAACTGTGTGTTCTGTTTGTTTCTTGATTGCAGTATTCTGGATTTTGAAAATTCTGGTTGTAAATTCAGCATTTATGTAGCTAAAGCACAAAGAGCTTATGTTAATCAGCACTTGTGAATAATGAAACACTGTTTTTCTTTCTACCAACATGCTGTGCTGCACAGTAAGCCTATAGATTGCGCAGGGCAATCCTCTCTTCTCACTGTTCCAGCTGACGGAGGCCTATCTAACTCTTGTCCTCAACAACCTTCTCACTTTTCTCCTCCAGACAGGTAGAACAGTTGTCCTCCCTCTTTTCTGGGTTGCTCTTTAATGCTTTTAACACATTAATACCACATCTAACGCATGAATAAAAGGTGAACTTTGTTGAACTTCTAACTGCGCTTACTGCTAACCCAGACACTTTAAAAGAAAGTGACCCTGAAACTAATTTCCTCTGCTTACTTCTCTGTGGGCACTGCAGGTAAGTTGCCTTGATGAATCATCAATTGAACAAGGGTGGCTAGAATAAAATCAGGCCAGTGAAAACCTGGGTTAAAACTGGAGTTGGTTAAGATAAAGCAAAAAAGGAAGAACTTGGCTAGTGAAAACTTATATTCCTCTGAAGACTGACATTTCCATGTGACTTTTTGCAGTCATTGCATATTTTAATGATGTGTTTAGCCCGTGGATTTTCTGAGTTGTTTGCTTGTGTGTAGGTTGCAAAAGTAAAAGCAAAACAAAGGCCTGAGAAATTAAGCAAGCAATAAGGTGTGCAAAACCTGTAATGGGAGGAGCCCAGTACCAAAAGGGGGATTTTCTTTTGTCCCCTGGTTTAGGGCAGGGAGACTCTATATGTTGCACTGTAGCGGATGAGCATCTTATAAAGATGACACAGTAGGTAAGACATCTTCCCTAAGGTTTAGGAGACTCAGACTTAAACCTTTGCTGTATTGTAGGATTCTTCTGGTTGTGGACCCCTTCTAACAGAGCTGAAAGTGGCTACAGACACTTTTTGTGATGTCTTAAATTTAAGGTGCCTCAAGATTGTACAGCCAGGCTCTTTCC